AGGTCCTGCACCTCTGTGTTTTCGTAGCTTCTGAGGTCCAATGCTGCTAACTAAATTTTATGTAGTCCTTCGTCACACTACTCCGCTTTGGCTCTCACATCGCTACCCCTGGGTATTCCAGTGTCTGAGTTCAGCACTTACCCACCAAGTCCCTGGTGTCCAAAGACTTCCACAAGTCACCAAGGTTGACAAAGCCAAGGTACGCCCTCATGATATGTATATATATATATATATACGTATATGCAATATGCACCTGTTAATGAGTGAGCAAGAGTGAGTGTCGGGTGTGTGTGTGTGTATATATACATATATATATATATATGTATACGCAGACAAGAGAAAAGAATATGTATATATATATATACATATGTGTGTGTGTGTGTGTGCATGTGTATGTGTATGTGTATGGCGAGAGAGAGAGAGAGAGAGAAGACAAAAGAAGAAAGCATGCTTTCGCACATACCACCCCGGCAAGTCCAGGTTCATATTCTGTAGATCCTTTCGCTTGGCCTATGCTTTCCATGTCAAGTGCAAACACGTTGTGCAACTGGGCTTGGTAACTGGCCAGAAACTGGCATCACAGCGTGTGCAAACCGTAAACCCGAAACCCAGTCCAAGTCAGTTAACATAGTCACTTAGTTTTACCGGGCCTTTCGTTGTAGCCACAGGGGTTGATAATGCTCGACCCGCTCGCAATGGCTTAACTAACGTAGGTTTCACAAGTACCCGAGGAGCCTTAGAGTACTTGGCACATCCTGTCTCGTTATATCCTACTTCGGATTCGGATTGTGTCCTGAGTTGTACCTGAGACCTGCTTGTAGGCTCACCCGTACTGCCCGTACTCGTAACATGTGGTATGAGAGTGGTTGTCATATGTTGTGTTCGGTATGTGGGTACTCACACCTAGGTCTCAACTCAACTGACTCTCAGCACCAACAACCTCGCCGGGCTTGTCCGAGTGTGAGTGCCAAAACCCTAAAATCCCGAAAGTGAACGCCGAAAGCCCTAAAACCTAAAGCCCTAACTCCTACACAAAGCCCAAACTCAGGTCGACCCCATGCGATCTGGGCGAGAGGAATGGATGACGATGGCACCGGACAGTGCTTCGCTTTTCATAGAATCCAATGTTTGTTAAAGTATTTCGTTATCTGATATCATCGTATCTCGTAAAATGCCTCTACATTGCAGGCTGCAGCGGGCAAACGGTGGGGAATGTAGAATGTCAGCCCAAACCCAGACAGAATTCAAGCACCGGAACCCGAAATAGTTTGTGCTCCCCGAAGTTCTTTGCAAGGCTAGCAGAAGATTCCTTGAGAAGCCTTCTGCTGAGGCATGGCTGGCCTCTTCCTAGATGGCAACGGGACGGTCCGACAAAGGAAAGCGGATGCCTTTGCCGTGAAAAGAAGCAAGCAGGACAACCGTGCTACGCATGCCTAGCAGCTGGCAAATGTGGTTTAACCCTTAACTCTCCGTTCTGAGCTTCAGTTTGCGATGCACATCACAGGAAGAGGAAGCCTTCGAGAAGGCCTTCAAAGAACGGGGTCCATCGCTGCTCTCCCAGCAGCAGGCCGGAAACTGTCAAGTTTTGGGTATCTCTCCCTCCATTGAGTCTCTGTCTCCGTCTCTTTCGTTCCCTCTCTACCCCTCTCTCTCTTTGCACACGTATGCATGTATGCAGAATGTAGAACAAGGCCTGAGGACTTTTGTTGCAATGTGGTGGAGCTCTTTGACGAAAGCTCGGCTTTTATATTTTGCCCCAGTCCCGGACTACACAACATTGAAGTTCCAAATGTATCGGAAACTGCAGCACCAAAATGGCCTTTAGAAAGGTTTTAGGTTTAGGTTTCACAGGAATCAGCCAGACATGTAGTGCTCACCTTGGGCCTTATCTTCGCGGCGAGGATGGGAGCTTTGCAGAGGCCAAGGAGGCTCAGGACAGCCTGCGCAAGAGAAAGGCCAGCGCCTGAGCTTGTGGCTGCTACTTGTACTATACGATTACTGGACTCCGGGATGTACCCTAAACCCTAAACTATAAGGCTCGCAAGCGGGCATCGACTCCACAGCAAAGCGAGAGGGAACAAAAATATAACAGTTCCTGAGTATGGTGATTCACTTCCTTAGTTGCATAGGCTGCACAGAAGGAATCCGCTGCTTTTGCAGCAACACAACACGAACAGACAGGGCAAGGCACGCGAATACTAGTAGTGTATTGCTGGTACCTCTTTTTGGGAGCAACATCTTTGCAATGTTGCACAGCTGTCCCCCGAGGGAAAAATGTTATTGCGCCTCCGACCGCATGATTGAAATTTCATTCCTTGCCACGACCGTACTTCTGCAGCCAGGATGTCTCTGTTTGTTGGAGTTTATTGGAAGATTAGCGAAAAAGCCGAACATGTAGATCCTGCTATTTCCTAATCATCACAGCCCGAAGTTACATCGGTCCGGCGCGGATGCTCACACGGACACTTGCCACACGACACGTTCCCCATCCTAAACCTTACAAATCTCCAATCTTAGTCTATTCCACCAACCTCCTGAACCCTGAACCTTAAAATACTAAATCTTTACTCAACCCTAGAGACTAGAAATTCAAACCTAAGCCCGAATCTCTGCAGACCCTTAGCCCCAGCCTGTTCAAGAGGAAATAACCTAAACAACAGCACCCGAACCCCTATAAAACCATGATGCGAGATGGTAATTATTCCTTAAACCCGAACCTAGATCTGAGATCCTCTAACTTTCAGGCATTCTTGCCGGCCCAAGGTCGGAAGTAGCGAAGTCTGGGGCATGTCAGCGAAAGAACAGGACGGCCGCTGAGTTTTTCAGAGCTGAGGGCTTCGGGATAAGGGCAAAAAGGGTCTACCTGAAGCCTCCGGTTTGGGATTTAGGGTTTTGGGTTTTTGAGATTCAATTTTTCGTTAGATGTCGTCTTTTTCTAGGCTACTAATTAACCATGATTCAGCTGGCCTGAGCAGGAACTACAGCAGAGAACAGACTTAGTGCTCAAGGTTTACATCGTTGGAGTCTCACCGGCCATTCCCAAGTGGGACTGGTTTCAGGGCTTCTCCGTTGCTGAAGGTGTTTGACTTTAAGCCCTAGACCTGGCAAACGTTGAAGCTTGTAGATCTGAAGCCCTCCCCTGAGGCCTATACACCCTAACCCTCCCTAATCCCAATCCCTTAAAGCACCAGGAGAAGCAAGCCCGAAGCGGTCCGGCGGCTTTGCGAAAATCCTTCGATCCGGAGAAGGACAACGGAGGGCGGGTGTAATGTAAGGTCTAAGTCTAAGTCTAGGGCTAGGTGTGCTTGAGCATCCCAAACCGAGGCTATAAGCTGAATTCAGGGGTCATAAGCGGAGTGATTGTGTACAAGGTTTAAGGAGCCAGATGAACACTTGCAGATCGATGTTTCGCTGCACCGTAAAGTACGAGACACACACACACACACACAGCTGGTAACGCTTCCATGATCTAGACTGACTAGCAGCACAGCAACACCCGATGCAAGAAACAGCTTTCGAAATCTGGGATCCGCAGGCTCAAACTGTGTATTGGCATCAGTTCCACCGTGCAAGCCCCGAACGTTGGTTTCATCAACATATGCGGTTTTGAGAGCAGGCGAAGAAGCACGTCAATTTCACTACAAGGAGACAAGTAGTGACATACCTTGGGTCAGTCGTCGCGGTCTTGGGTTGACATGGCCCTGAGGATCTCGTAACAAAGAAGCCTATCTCCTCTGACGAGTTTTCCAAGCTCGTGGAAAACTCGCAGACGGGACTCACAGGGCGTGCTCGAGCTGCACGAGACGGGGCCTGGGCTCTGCATGTCGGAGCATGATCGAAGTCTTGAGGTAGGGAGTCCGCTCTGTGGATATTACGTTTCGAGATGATTGTCATGTAGTAAACAGAGGCGCGTCCATATTTCGCTTTCGGCATCGCGATGCTTGCGCAGGTTGACAGTTTCTTGCGCGAGCATTCGAGCTTCGTGCTACCTTGCCTCCCCTAAACTCTAAACCGTATAAACTCTAAACCCTGAAACCCTAAACTCTGAGCCCCTCAACTCTAAACCCCTAAACCCTAAACCGTGAGTTGCTTATATCCTGACTGCTCCTCCTAGTGTTACTTAGTGAAGTCTCAGACTCCGCACCCATGCCTCGCCTGGATTGTCCGAGTGTGCCGCAACCCTGAGCCCCTAAACCCCTAAACCCTTGAACCCTGAGCCCATAGACTGTAAAGTGCTGGCGACCGCAGAGCCGAGGATTCAGTCGCGGCGGAGTTTCCTCCTCCTTCCTCTGAGACCGGAAGCTTCACAGAGGGAAAAAGCAGGTTTAGGGTTTTGAGACCAGTAGCAACGAGGGGCCGGGGGGCTGTTGGGGATGATTGGGGATATTGGGAGAGGACAGTGTCTGTTGCTCCCGGCAAGAAGTTCCAGTTGAGAGCTTCAAGATTTTGGCAGTTTTGTTGAAGTACGTGATCCCTATGGTTATCAAGGAATTCATAATGGGATCCTGTACTGAAACGCTGGTTATCCTGGGCATCCGCAGAAATATAAAGTCTCGCGCACCCTTGTGGGCATGCCGATACTTCTTGCTTGTAAGTTACACCCCCTACAAGAAAGCTTTCGGGCCTGACTCGTTGGTTGAAGCAGGACTCCCGAAATTATTGGGCACCCCATACCGCGGTTATCTGGTTTTGTTTGAGGCATGCGGTGCCACAGGGATCAGCTTTCGCTTTTAGGGTACCTTAATGGGTATCAAGGGTTTCGGAAAGGCAGCTGAATTTCGGCCCCGTAAATACATACATGTGTAATCATGTATCTAAATAAACAAATATAAATGTGTATACATATGTATATATATATATATAATGTATGTATGTGTATATATATATATATACACATACACACACACACACCAAATGTAGCCCTTACCCTTACGATCTGTAGTCCAAGAGGGGCGACAGACAGCTTTTACGCTTTACCATCCATGGCCTGTTCGATGAAGGCCGTGCGAGAGCTGAACGGTGAGTTGGAGGCGGGCCCGGGCCAAGGGTTAAGTGAACCGTATACAAGCCCTCAACCCTTAATCACAAAGTCGCGGAAGCCATTCGGCGAGGACTAAAACTGATTAGCTACCTCAGCGGAGCTTTCTGGCGCCGTGCGCAGCTGCAACGGCGAAGCACCATCCGCACTTTGCGGTGGTCCGGTGGTATGGGAGTCTGTGAACTTGGTGCCCGCCGCTGCCCTCATACCCCGACTTTGGTGAGCCTTCCCGGCGTCCCTGTGGAGAACGGACGGCGGTCGATCGCATTGCAAAACACACACCACGGTTAAAATTGGGTTTAGCAAGGGAAGCTCGAAGTTATTGTTCGTCCTAGTGGTCCTAATGACTCGTTTGACCTAGAGCCTGCACAAAACAAACTTCAACACAACGCCAAAGAAACGAGAAGCATTTTGAATCATGGTTGAACAAATACAAGCAGCATAAACATGAGACCATGTGGCGCGGGAAATCGCATGACATGGAATGTGGAAAACGAGAATTCAAGCCGATAGTCGAAACACAAACAACGCCAATTGCAGCGGATTTGGACGTTTGCCATTGTCTATGGGTTTTTCGTGCGCTTTTTTGATGTATGTGGTTCTGAAAAATGTTCTGCGTGTTGTTTGTGTCCGCTATGTTTCCTATGGTTATATCGTTCGTACATTGTCTAAAGACACCGTGTCTTCGAAGGGGCTGCAGGTTATAACCATGGTTCGATCAACTACTTTAGGAGCAACTGTGGGGTATCCGGCTGTCCAGACTTCCACAGGAGAATGCGACTGCAAGTGTGGCTACAGCTATCTCGATGGCGGCAGCCTTCCGCGTCCAGGACAGCTGGCGGTTCTTCTTAGACTTTGCCTCCGGCTGCAGCTGTACGTGAAATCGATGTTTACGCTCATACGAAGGATGTGATGATGACGAGCACGGCAGTATCACAACGGTAGAAGATGGTGTTCCCGTGTGTTCAGTTCTGCACGACTCAGTCTGACGCTTCGTGCCTGTTTCTCTGTTCTCTGCCCGTATTGCCCATCATAATGTGCCCAAATAGGTTATAGTTGGGCCCCGAAGTACCCATATACAGGGACTACTTTCCGGCCAACGTACATACTATATGGGTACATGGATCCTTAGGGTTAGTTGCATGAAAGTCTATAGCTGCCGACCGTCCTCAAGTGGGGGTGCATTTACGGGTTGGTGACGATTATGAAATAGTGAATAATATTAGTACATATTTCTTTTTGAATGTCTATCATCGTTGGCTCTTACTTATATATATATATATACGCAGGTTCATGTATACATATTCATGTGAACATATAAACATGTTGAATCTGCATATATATATATATATATATTTACAAATATATATATATATATATATATATATATATATATACATATATATATATAGATATTCTCTCATATAGTTAAAGCTTGGTATAGGTATCATCAATGCGATGTAACGCGACTTGAACCACCATGTCTTGCTGTGAGAAGGCAGCACCGCACAGATGTGGAGGTGTAGCATTACCACATCTTGCAAAAGTCAAAAGTCGAGAATTTGCAGATTTGAGTCCATGCGCAGTGTATTGCAGCACAGCGGGCGCTGTCAGCGAGACGCTGCCTGCATTTGAAGGAGGTCAATGTCAAGCTGAAGGGGATCAAAGGGCAGGTTGTGGCCTGGAGTAGTCAGACAGGGCTTCAGGTCGGTTGTAGATACCTGACCTCAACATGTCAGAGAGCTTTCATGTATCCATCAGTCTATCTGTACATATTTCCAACACCAGGCAACAGTCTGCATTGGGATCGGGCGTTAGCGTAGTGCCCGTTCCTGACGAGACGTGTCCTAGAGATGAGCGATTTCGGAGGTAGCTTCATCATGTTGTCCAGTTGGCTTGTGGATTCGGAGGTTATGCCTCAGAACTTGGTGGTTCAGCTTGTGTTGCAGGTTGGACAGAGTGTGTGTGGAAACACACCAACTCTGTCCCGCACATGTTGTCAAATCCACGGGTTCAGGCAGCATCCCAGCTGATACTAACAACAGACCGTGCTAACAATGTACGGCAAATCGGTCCATTAGGTCTACTGATGTCAAACGTTCGTCAGACCGGGCAGACGTGCAACAATGACAATACCAGCCAGCCGAGCGATTGCCATTCGTCACCACGCTCAATGCATTTGTGGAGTGTTGTCTACCGTTTATGTCCTGATTAGCCGAGGCAGATGACTCCTTGAACATCACGGTTAAGACGGAGGCTGGGGGACTGCTTGCCTCCGACGTGGTTGTTGCGGCAAAAGTTGCTGGGACTATCGCCCTAAGGCATGCGTGACTGGCAGCAATTTTATACAGATGTGTTTATGTATACATATAACTATACACATACAAAAGTATATTTGTAATTAGGGGTTTTAAGGGTGAAGGGTGCGGTGCTGGTGTCAACAACTGGTTGGGACGAGCAACGTGCGCGGCACAAACATTGGCTTCCGCCACAATTGTCATGTGAAGCAGACCAGTGTGACGCAGGTGTCAGGCGTGAATGACTGTTCCGACGAGTTTCTTGGATTCCCGCAATATGGAAGCCTCCCCTGATATCAGAACTCCGCGACATTGGAATTTTGCGGTGTAGGGCCCATGATTGAAAGTCAATTACAAATATTTGTGGAGAGCGGATCGTATGAGAATGATTAGAGCTAAGACTACAGTAGTACTAAACCAAACGGACCAGGGCGAGCAGGTCTTAGGGCGTAGGCGCAGTTGGGGCTTTCGGGTTCGGGGATTAGGGTTTGGAGATCGTCGACGCTTCTTAACTTCTCGTGTTTCTCTCACTCCCGCGTTCGCATCCCTCGTCAAACGAGAAGGCCCTGCTGTTGAGGAGTGTTCGCTGGTTGGGGCTTGGGGACTTACAGGGCTTAAGGCTAAAGCGGCTAAAGGCTTCGGGCTCCAGGTTGAAGGCCCCGGGATTTTGACTTTTTGTTTATCAGGGGAAGCGATTAATCTTGAACCCCTCTCGTTACATTCATCCCTCATCGTCGTCACTCCATCACGGCCTCTGCGACGTGCTACAATTGTCAAAACAACAACACACCGACCAACGTTCGCAACTGGTCGTCCGCGGAAGTGGTGGTGGCATACGTGAACTGGTTACCAGGTAGTAAGATAGGAGGAGTAAGCATCGGGTAGTCAAACTCAGATAGTCTAGAAGGTAAGGTCGAAGAACATTGTGCAGCTGTGGAATGACTTCTTGACAGAAGTTAAACGAGGAACTTCGTGCGTCTGAAAGGGATGCACCTATCTTGAACATCTGGTCAGAACGTCTACTGCAGCGGGAACAACATCGCCAGTTGCAGAAGCTCGGACGTTGATGCTCTGAGAATACTCATCGCAGCAAACGGAAATCGTGTTCCTTTTCATTGAATATGCCCGCGTTGCTCAACAACGGCGTTTGACCATCGCGTTGTTTCGTATCTCTGTGGAGAGCATGAAGGCCTTAGCTGGTCTAGCCTGTCAGCGCATGCCTGCACGGTTTACGTGGCGTCGGCGAGAGAGCAGAGAGATTGCTGCAGTTCGGAGTCGCACCGAAGCGGATTGGGGGCTCGTGGAGCAACAGTAGCCCAGCAACAGCCACCATGCGCATGCCTCTCCGAGGTTGGATTGGCACATATAGAATATAGGCACTATAGTATAGTCACTATAGGTTGTGAGAACAACAGTAGTGCCTCCAGTCCCGCTCATCGTATCCCTTTCCCATCGGGCGCTTAAGGTATGTCTCTCCTGATCCAAGGCCTGAGCTCAAGGCATCTTTTCTCAAGAAATTCTCGCTCGCCATGAAGACGATCCCACCGGAAAGGCGTGCTAAGGGTTTAGGGCCAGTGATTTTGCCACGCAGAATACGTAGCCGCCTGCGCACAGACACGCATGCACGCGCACACATCGCCGCGCAGAGGTAGGTACGCATGTGTCTTAAAGACATGCTTGTGTCGGTGCACATGTGCAAGACCCTCACACAAATGCATTCGTACATACTTGCGTGTGTGTGTGTGTGGATAGACAAGATGTTGAAGTGATGTACATGTCTTTCTAGTGTCTGCATATACAATGAGAGTTTGACTCTGGGGGCGAGCTACCGAAGACACCATGTAATTACATACTTGCATCCGTGCATGCATGCATGCGCGCATACACATACCTACATATACAGACACATACATATGCAATACATATACATATGCATACATGTACACACATATACATAATTACATACAACATACATACTCATACCTGCCTACATACATATATACATGCATACAGACTTTCATCATAGTGAATACATCTAGACTTCATGCATAAAGAGATATCTGCGCATAATCTCTGTGTGCAGGTTGGTTCGCCTCCGGCAGCTTGGTTCGCAGCTGTCTCTTGCAACAGTCACAGGCATCACATGCTGCTCGGCGGATACTGCATGAGGATTTCAGGCATTACAGCCCAGTTTGTTGTGCTTGCTCCTGTGTTGTCTTAAGGTCTTGAAATATGGCTGTGGAGAGCTTCGTCTTCCGTAAATTCGGCTCGTCCGGCGTAGTGTGGTGTGGAAGAATACCTTTGCTGTGGTTGGGCTTGAGATTCGTGTCGGTGTGGTTCATTCGAAGCCCCCCCTCCCACAAGCACTTAACTCATCGTCTGCTCCATTGAAAATCCCTTTACCTCGTGATTGTCGCCAGGGAGACAGCTGTTAATCCTCGTGCAGGTGTTGGCCTGGCTTTCAGTAAAGCCGCATTCTGCCCACACACGCGAGCATTCGGTTAGTTCAGCTGTCCTGCACAGCCCGCATACAAACAAGCATCATGAGTCAGCCGTTATTATTGCCACGACAGCATCTCACCGTGTTCAGGACCTCCCAGATTCTACCCCACAACAGACCGCACTGTACCTCCAGGTTCGGAAGTGTCTCCGCACTCCGATTGGTCGCAGCCCTAGAAGACCTGGTGCGTCTTGCATTCGCAAGAATTTGGCTTCTTGTGTAAAGAAGCCTCGCTACCTTTGCATTCGGAGTGTCCCGACTGAGATTAGATGAAGCTGCATCCGCTAATCCATATGCAACCGGATAATTCGGTATGATTTCGTAGACAATGCTTTCATTCCTCCGGGTATTGCCATCGTGGATGCTTTTGCATTCTGCGTGCCGCTAGTATGTAGTGTTGTCATCATTACTTGTATATACATATGAACACCTTCTTTGCCTGTGTTCATATACTTCTGGATAGCCTCATGCAGTTGTTTGGCGCACTCCAAAGACTCTTTGTTGAAGCTTTTGTGGCGCGTGCTGGCCAGTTACATATTGCCTCGAATCGAGCTGCAGAAAACGCACTCAGCCGCCACCTCCAGTCAATGCAACATCGCTCAGGTTGATGGCCTGGGCGTCCCTTGTCTGAAAAGGGCACTGGCAGACAAAGCTCGGCTTCACAATGCCTAGCCCGGAAAGCAGCATGCTATCTGTCACAATCAGCTCACAGCTGAAGCCAGCGAGTAGGAGCATGGCTTACCGACAACTCTACTGGGGATCCACAGTTTTCAGGTTCCACTGTTTTGCCTGAGTCGGTCACCATTTGTGCATACACTCTCAAAGCATCGTTGAAATTCCTGTTGCGCAAGGGCTACCCACACCAAAGTCTCAGCAACAACTAGTAAGGTTAACAAGTACAGACCCCGATGAATGAACTCCGCTGCCAGGACAGGGATCATATCCCGGATCCGAATATTCGGGCCTGTTTCAGACAGAGAGTTCATTAATATAGGGGCCTGAGTAATTACCTGTGCTTTATTGGGGTTCCTTAAGTATCATAATTATAGCATGGTGGGCCCCAAACCCAATTATTGGGGCCCCTATTCTATACCGCCATACTAACCCTGATAGTATACCTTGCAGACCCCTTCAAAAGGAACTCTCAAAACAACACCCTAGTTATTAAGGCCCTACTGTACCCCTTGCCTTAAAAACGGAAGTCGCAGTGGAACCCGCAGGTCCAGGTGGAGCCGTCACACGGTCATCGTCCTGGCAGCTCCCTGTCCGAATCTGACGACTCCTGGTAGGGTTTAGGGTTTAGGTTTTGGGGTTGGGCAGTACTGCTTCCCAGCTGATCACCAGAGTCTAGGTTCAAAAGGTTTAAGGGTGTAGGGTTTTAGGTATTAGGGATTTAGGGTGCCATGGCTTCTTGTTGTCGTCTTTGGTCTTCAGGGTCTTAGGGTTTAGGTGGACCTCTGCCTCCTGTAGTATGACTGCTGTAAGGTCGGCATCGGATCTTGGATTCTTGATGCCGGGCTTCCAAGGACAAAGGACCAAGGTATACTGGTCCCGTTCTATTCGTGCACATGCTGAATCCTAACTCCCAAAACCTTGAATACTGAGCAAGCAAACTCTAAATCCGGGTGCCTCAACCGACAAGCGGAGACGCCGAGGACAGAGCAAGCAGGTCCGGTCTTGCGTTCTGAAAACCCACAAGAAACACATACTTGTAACCGCATGTGTACCCTGCTCAAAAAACCACAGCCCCAGTACTAAACACCTGGTTCTTTTCAGAAATAGTCGCCTTCTTCAGATTTCCCGGAGGCCGTCATTTGCATAGCAACTCTTTGCTGCTGTTGCAGCCTCTTTGGCCACAGGCGCGGGGATGTGTGTATGCCATGGGGTTGTGGATTTTGGACCCAGGATGTTGAGAGATAGCGCTGTGGTCCAGGTCCACATGAGCTGAGCTCAGCTTTCGCTTGGGGCTTCAGTGGCTGGACTTCCTGTGTGTTTTCTAAATCTCTGATGTTCTGGTTGCCATTACGAGCCAATGTACTTGTAACCCAGCTTTCAACACCAACGACCCATGAACAACAGCTGTTCCGAACTGTTTCCTCTTCCGGCGCTGCCGGTTGTCGAAGGCTCTGGAATGATGATTTTGAGGTCGTGGCGTCCAGAAATCCACTTGTAAAACGGGAAACACTGAGCTGAGGTGTTCAGGGCATGGTGCCAAGCAACTTATCGTAGTGATCTTAACTGTCCGACCCGTGCCAGCTGCGATGGCTCAAGATGGACCATGGGGCTTTGCCCCGGGTCGACCCCTTGTACCTGTGCTAGGCAGACTCGACTCTTGGGAGACCAGCTAAGCTGGACGATCCCACGATGTTCAAAGGGGCGGCCAAGAAGGCTACAGTGGCCGACATGTGTGGCCCGGCGGTCCTTCGGAGTACTCTAGCCTCTCGCTCAGCACTTGGTTTTTGTGGCACGAGCTGATGCATGCAACTACCCCGTCTGTTGTGCTATTGTCATCATTACATGCTGCTGCCTCCTATTTTGCCATGTTACATTTCGCCATCTTTTGTAGTGGTTTGCAGGGTCGAGCTAGACGATTTCTGCTGCCGTTGGTAGCTATGCAGCTAAGCTTAATGCGAAGAAGTTCATTCTGCTGGCTTCCTCCTGTAGACACTCAAGCTTACACTCACCAGCGCCCTGACATAAGCCCTACCCTTCCATACCCTTTGCAGTTTTCAGTATTCTCGACGAGAACCTGCCCAAACCTCGGGTGGCTGCGACATGCTGACTATAAGACCCTATAGCACAGCCCTGTAAAGAAGCCCTCGTTTCGCTTATGGTGCATCCTTATCAAGCCCCATCAAGCCCTCTGCGGAGAAGCCTAAACCCCTAAACCCTCAAAAAAAAACCTAAACCCTAGGTCCTGTTCGCTACACTCAGGTCAGCGGAGGCCGGGGCCATGCCGAGGACGAGTTCGACGATGCCGCACCTTGGGCTCCAGAGATGTGTATTATAGAGGCCTTAATCATTGCCATAAATATGGGGCCTCCAAACCCTATTCTATTTATTAAGGCCACTGTATTCCCGCCGAAGAAGGCGTTTGATCAAGAGCGCGACTTCCGTCGCCCTGTCTGGGAAGCAGTTCTGTATCGTGTCACAGTGTGTGTCTGTGTGTATATGTGTTTTTACTTGTTCTCTTTCTTCCTCCTAGCCTCCGCCTCCCGCCATATTTGCATGGAAAAGGTGTATTTATGTGTTTGAGCACAGGCCGTCAGCGAGCAGGCATGCAAGACAATTATGGCTGCCTCATTCTGCCTGCATACATGCATGTACACAGTGCGCACAAACACACACAGACATACATGTGTGTGTGTGTATATATACATACATACAAACATATATATATATATATATATATATGTATATATATATGTATACACGTAGACGTAAATACATGTACGAAACATGCTTCTGACGACCATGTGTGCGCATACTTACGCAGGCGCACACGGATCTGCTTGCGCATTGGTTCCTGTGCTTGCCCACGTACACCACATCGGTTGTTGGTGCTGGCTGAGCAACATTGTCCCCCCATACTCCGTTTTGAACTTCCAACCTCCCTTCTTCCCAGTTGGGATGTAGTAAACAAGCCTAGCTCATGACTCGCTTAAAGCAGCGATGACCTCTCGTGGCGCTCATTCCCCCACCCCCTCTGTGTTCCAAGGAGCTTCTAGGTCAGGGAGCCTACGGAATGGTACACAAAGTTCAGGACGGGGATTGGGGCTTCCGGATTTCGGCTTTGGGGGTCTTGAGTTTCCGGGTAGAGGTTTCAAGCGTTTCATAGCGAAAGAAGCTCCTGGCAAGGCTGCGATTCAATGTTCCAGGGTGTTTCACCATGAATCAGGATCTCATTGGCTCTACTATTTCCTTAAAGTCCCTAAATATTTCTGTTGATTTACCACTCCAGCCTCGCGCGAATGATTAGGGCGCCTGCAGTGTGTTTGTCCGTCTGTCGGTCTGTCTCCCGTGCGTCTGTCTGCCTGCCTGCCTGTCTGTATGTATGTGCGTAAGTACCTATGTAAGTATCTATCTATCTATTGACTTCTGTGTGCAGCAGTTGCGCAGTCTACACAGTCAATCAAAAAGCCAGATAAGATGACACCCGACCGGTAGACCGAATGAATGCGCCTTGTGTAGAATGGCGGAACCATGACACCCATACGGGTGCAAGCCCAAAGTCTGGTAATTCTTACAGGGACCTATCTGCACCTTGCCTTCCTTCTTCTTTCTGTTGCAATATGTTGCTATCAGGTCTACGGACTGTGTAATTAAGCTTCAAGCTCACCCCCGAAGGACAAGGTCACTGGACAAAGCAAAGTCCTCAAATCTGTGGTCCGACCGGACGGCTGGGACGACGAGCGCCTCAAAATGGAGGCGAAAATCCTGAACCTGGGCCGTAAGTAGAGTTTGTAGGTAAAGAAATCCCACAAGGTGCTGAAGCCTAGAAGCGCGCGCACATCGGTTTTTTTCAGGTAGAAAGGTTCGTGATGCCAGTTTCTCTTGCAAGGCTTCAGCGAAATGAGCGAATGCACAGTGGCTTAGCCAGCGCAGGTGGTTGGGCTCAATCCTCCTAGGCTGCTGCCGCCATTACCCCTACTGCTCGTGTGCCACCAGCAGCACAGAAGTCGCTTGAACCTGCCGTGCTCGTTCGTGTCTGTGCCTGGCGATGAATTCGCCTGACACTGTTCGGATGCCCGAATCGGCAACCAGCGGTGACTGTCACGGAACAGAATCCTCGTGTCAGGTACAGCGCATGCAAGTCGAAGCTGTTCGAATGCGAAATACACTCGGTTAAGTATATGGGAATCTTACAAAGCCAGGATTGCTGCTAGTTTGGCGGCTAGTACTACCAACTTGTGCGGCAGAGAATAGCCGTGAACACTTGCACACTCATGTCAATGATAGCAGTGATTCAGCCTTCTGTGGTGACGGATATGACTTCTTGCCAGCATCACCATGCCAACGCTTGCGGCCCATGCTTGCGGAAAGATAATAGTTCCAACAAGCAGCACTCGCCATGTGATTGTAATCCCGGCAGCAGCATTCCATCATCATTCACAGCGCTGGCTGCAAAGGTTCGTCATCGCGATAACTCGTCCTTCTGCATGCAAGTTACGAGGCCCCGAGGCAATTCCTCTCCCAATGTTGCAAATGCCCAGATGCAAACATGCACATATTTGTTCTGAGAGAGGATTGGTGCTTTAAAAATGTCATGTCGTGGTTCGCAGTCCAAGATCAGATTCAGTAACTGGTCTGCTGGAGGCAGGGTGTCTGCCGGCAGTCACATGACGCTGCCAAGGCAGAATTTGGATCACCCACATATTCTGCGAATTTTCTCGTGGTACGAAGAGGGCGATTGCATCAACATTGCTGCTTGGTTGCAACATGCTGTTGTTTTTCTTCTTGGGTCGCCTGCCCTGATTGCCCATTCTGTAGCCCCAAATATGGCCTATCATCTGGTTGCGATCGAAACGACCGATTGTGGAAGCTGCGAGAAGTCCTGAAAGCAGTCTCGCGGGCGGGCCGATTGCATCATAAGCATTTTACTCGCCCCGCTTGCAAGGTTCACGGCCTGATGGGAGGGAGCGGAGTGTTGAGTCACATTTCTCCCAGGTTGACAAAGATTTTAAACCCGCCAGTGCTTGTGTGTGCGTGTGCCACACTTCTACCACAAGGGGGGGTTATTTGTCGTTTCGGGCCTCGAAGTCGAGTGGTGCTCACTTTCGTTTGCATGGCTCCCGTAGGTCGGATCCGCGAATCATGTCTAATCATAATTTAAGAACCGCATCCAAAGGCCGCTGACGGCCCTGCACACGATACACTCCCTTAACCTGCCCCTCCTATACAGCTTTAAAGACATTGTGCAGACTCTTTGAAAAAGCTCCAAAAAGCCCACACAAGGTCATGGAGCATTGTGATGGGGGAGAGCTCCTGAAGGTCGTTCGGGAAGGCAGGCGGCAAGGACAGGCAGACGGGTGCAGTGGTGGTTCAGGGCTTTAGGGTTTGGGGTTTAGTTTCTGGGCCTATCGATGATTCAGGATACGGGCTTTGTGTCGGGTGTAGCGGTTCGGCTGGGTTTGGCAATACACCCGTCTCTCACATGTACATGCAGTGCTGTACAGTCGTGTTGATGCCAGCAGGGCTTGGATGTTGTGTATCGGTGTTGAGTACACAGCTCTGGTGCTGGCACAATTGCTCGGCACTCCGTGCCATGACACCGTCTCCGGGCGGCCATGGGTGGAAGAGGGAATTGAGAAGATGTTTGGGGGCTATGACAGCCCAGCTTGAAGCGGCAGCGGCCTCGTCACCTAGGGGCTTCGAAAGCTTTGAAGACTTCTACGCTGTTTCGGTTGAGGACAGAAGCTGCGGTTTCCCTACGAGAAGGGAGGCCTGTGCGCTGGCATTTTGCCAGTTTGGAGAATCCATGCCTTTCTGGCAAAGTGGAAGCATGATGTGATGAGGGACGTCTTTGGTGCCTCCTGGGTGCCTGACAACACACATGTTTGGTGTGAAACGGTGAGTGATGACTGTGACTTCTTTCTCTGCAGCTGTTTGTGGCGGAAGGGTTCTCAGTACGGCGTGTGCTTTGCCAACAAGGAGAGCCTGTGGTTTGACCGCTTGCATCGCCTTCCCCAAAGCGACAGTGCCGAGGAAGGTCCCCTCTTCGAGAACGCTGCTGCCTGTGAGAGCGCCTGGAGCACAGCCTCCACCAGCGCTGGTGACGGCAGCGAGGGCAGTGACTGTGACCAGGATGCATCTCTTCAAGGCGAAGGTGGTGGCGGCCAGTCCTCCTCCTTTGCTGAGC